TATCAGATGGATTTCACTAGCAAGAATGGAGAGAAACTCAATTCTTTAAAAGGATGGAGAGGAGGAAAAACAGAAGGAGAAATTGAGGCAGACTTTTTGTTGTTGTTGTATCCTTTATCTTGCTTAATTATTGATGCAAGAATGGGCTCTTGCATTCCGTTGAGAAACTGTCAAATCTACACAGGGTTAGAAAAAAAAAATACCCCTGTTTGGCATCTACTGGGCACAGTCCTTTCTCCTTCCAGCCTGTTAGCACTTTTTTTTTGATCTAGCAAAGAATTCCAACTAGAGACCTGGCAAAGACCGGATCATGTGGTATCTCACTGTCTCTGAGATTCTCATTAAATCTTCCACCTCCTCATCTACGGGAAGAAACAGAGTCTGATTGTTGTTGCCTGGCTTTCTAGAGCTTGTCCTTCTATGCTGAGAGCCAAAGTGCATGCAAACCTCCAACTCAAGGCCCAAGCACTCGATTCAGCAAGAACTGGTAGGAACCAGCCAGAAGTGTCGACAGCTCGCACTAAATCAAAATGGCTAAGGAATGCCTCCTGTTCAAAAGAAGCTGGGGAACAAGAGAGGATAAAACAGGAGTATGAGATGACCGAAAATGTAATTCACTCAATACCAAAGGGCAAAAACAAAGAGACAGCAAAAATTGAAAAGAACAATGAGAGTTTAAATTTCTTACCTTGGGTAGTCCGGATATTTCTTCTGTGACTTGTTCAACAAAATGTAAGCAAGCAAGCAAGTAATGTTTACTTAAATAGTAAGCAGTGAAGGTATATACAGTACATGCAGGATAGAAATCCAACTGAATTGATTTTCTGCCTTCCAGGATGCATTTATTTAATATGGCCAGCCTCCTATTATGTTAATCTTTAAAAAAATACCCATGTTGGCCTATTTTATTAAAGCTTCAAATCCAATTTTCCCTTCTTTGACTTTCACCAGCATCAACTTTGCAGTAGAAAAATGAACAATAGCACCATCAGTGCTGTCTCTCTGTCTATCTATCATGCCAGGGTGGCACAGTGGTTGGAATGCAGTATTGCAAGCTAACTCACTGCTCACTCCAGGAGTTCGATTCTTAGCGGCTCAAGGTTGACTCAGCCTTCCATTCTTCCGAGGTTGATAAAATGAGGACCCAGATGGTTGGGAGCAAGAGGCTGACTCTGTAAACTGCTTAGAGAGGGCTGGAAAGCACTGTGAAGCGGTATATAAGTCTAAGTGCTATTGCTATCTTATCAATATCTATCTCATCAATCTCTCTCTCTTCAGTATCTATCTCCTTAATATCTATCTCATCAATACACAATCTCTCTCTCAATCTCAATATCTCCTTAATATCTATCTCTGTCTCTATCTCATCTCTTCATCCATCCATCCATCCATCCATCTTTTTTTCTATCTATATCAGTATCCCTTCTCTCTCAATACCTCCTTAATATCTACCATCTCTCTCAAAATATCTCTTCTCTCGATACCTCAATATCTACCTCATAGCATCTATCTATCTATCTATCTATCTATCTATCTATCTATCTATCTATC